GGGGGGGGGGGGGGGGAGGGGCTTATATTCGGAGGGGCGATTTAACAGAGGGTTTTTTGCGTTACGATTTTGGGGGGCTTTTATTTGGTGGGGCTTATTTTTGGAATTTTATGGTATTATTCCAAGAAACTAAAGAAAAGAGTCTACAGTCAAAAAACACTCACCATCATCTAAATACTTTTGAACTGCAGCAATGTTCCCTTTCTCAACTGCAACTCGCAAGTCATCAACAGCTAGTGATAATGATGCTTTTCGGGTCTCTGCTTGTGTAGATTTGTTTGGTGAGAAATTACTCCTGTAGATCGCATTTGAAAATTTTTATCACAAAGTATATAGAGTGATAGCACAAAGGACTTAAAAAGTCTATCTTTTCCCTTCAGTCAAGAAGGAATATTTCAATTGCCTATCCTAAGGTTCTGTGTTAGACAGTTAAAATGTTTTATTTATTTTGTATTGGCACTTCACTTTAAGTGCTTGTTGAGTCAGAAGGTTCTTTCTCTTGGTGTCACTTCACTTTTTCTAGCCGCCTCAATTATTAAAAAAATGAGCCCCCAGTGGGAAACTTTAAACAGAAAGATTGGCCCAAGGGCAGGGCTCGAGAAAAACCCATCCGGTAGTCTTCCCCAAGGGGTGAGGTTCCAGGCAAGTTATACTCTAAATAAAAAGCCCAGCAAGAAGTGGCTCAATCTTTTGGCAAGAAAAATGCGAGGGCTGATTGCCCACAGAGCAAGCTGGAATTCAAGTTTTTGTCAAGCCCTGAAATTTAAGGGGAGGGGCGAATTTGTCTTAAAATTTATTTTCTGATTCCCCCCGCTGCCCGTGGTCCCAACCACCCCTTAGGGATCACAGGAAATTGTCTTGTTGAATCGTTTGATGTAATTCAAATGACAATTTTTCAAAGGCACATGAATTAGCATACATGATTTTTACAGGCTTGAGAATCATCGGGAGAATTGCCCGGTGATTTTGTCAAGCGAATCAAATTGTCCAGGAATCATATGTGACGATGACTGAAGTTCTGCTAAATCATAAGTGATGATCAACAATGTTATCGATAACATTGTTGATTGACAGGTGCGTTAGACTTGACGTGTCTACTGAATAGAGGGCGTCAATGTAATTATTCATCCCGTCCAAACCTTCTTGATGATTTTCCCCTATTATTGTACGATGATGGAGGCCTTGGAAACCCTCCCCTCCCTCTTCCCCTTTGTTGCAGCTGTCCTCTGCCTCTGCCGAGACCAGTTGCTCCGTCATTTCTACTGTCACTTGTTTTCTGAGATGAGTGTTGTTTTCTCCTTCCATCCGTTTGAGCTTTCGATGTTTCAAATTCTACGTCTTCAGGGTGTGGATTGCAAAATCCTGCTCCAGCAGGTATTCCAGAGAAGTTCTTTGATGAAGCACCAGTCATACCATTCATATCTGGCTTGTTATTAACCGTTTTGGCACTGTAACTATTTGAACCTCCCATGAAAAAACCCTCATCATCGGAGTCTGAATCTTCAAATCCAGCGGGGCAAAACGACATTTTTCCAAGATTAGTCCTTCAGAAAATGCCAAAAATGTCTTGTAAAGAGAAAGGACCATTCAGTAAGGAAGGAAACTAAAGTCAAAAATTTTTCACAAGGTTTTGTTCACCATCCTTGGGCACGTGTGGTTGATAAATGTCACCGCGTCATGTATAGTAAACGAAATGTCCAAGGTTGGTTTATTCCGCTGCCATCTTTAACAGGGTCGCTGGCGCGGTGATGGCGGCGCGAAAAGGCTTCGGTGCCCTCGTTTTTGGAGGAGGAAGCGGTTTAGGGCTGGCCACAGGAAAGAGACTTGTTAAAAATGGCTACAAAGTCGTTTTAGCGGACCTGCCATCGAGTGAAGGCGACAGGGTGGCGCGAGATCTGGGAGACAGCTGCATTTTCGCTCCAGCAGATGTGAGTGGAACTAGCCTGGGCCGTTCCTTAGCCGCCCCCCCCCCCCCCCCCCCCCCTAACTTTGCACGTGCATCACGCTTTTTTGTACATTTCTTTACCGTCCTTGCACGACTACGACGTGAAAATGCCTAATTGCAAGTTTTATGGAGGACGTAAACAAGCGACGACGAATCTCTTTTTCTCTCTCTCAACTTGAGAGCGGTCCTCAAGAAATCAACTCCAGGGAAATTCGCCTACACTTGCCATTTTCAGCAAATTGGAATAAACGCGACAAAGATTGAAAAAACGGAAATTCATTTTAAAACTGACGTTTTCGCTGCCGTTGCCGTCGTCGATGCTAAAGCTCCCTAGTTTTTGCAACGGCTTCAGCGAACAGCAAAAAAACAATAGGTTTAGATTGACAAAAAAAAAACTTTGCACGTGCATCACGCTTTTTTGTACATTTCTTAGCCGTTTTTGCACGACTGCGACATGAAACTTCCTAATTTCACACGCCCGTTTTATGGAGTGGGTGAGCACAACACAAAAAAATTTCTTTTTCTAAACTTAGATACAGTCCTTTCGGATTTAACCCAGAAAATTTCGCCACCATTTGACAAATTAAATGACATTAAATAAGATCGATGGAGTTTGAAACAGTGCGAATCCACTTTTTAAGCCGGTGAAGGCGTTTTGGTTTGTTGTCATCCAGAAATTTTGCTACCATGGCAACGTGACGTAACGACTTCTCTTCTCTATATAATGATCAGCCTCAAAATACCTATTTCTTTGAATATCCTCATATGTCGAACAGGTCTTCAGTAAAATATTTACCTGTACAAATTCCAGAGGCTCACGGACAGAGTTTAAGTGTTTCTGTACATAGGATACACTGCTTCTTACGTACGTTAAGTACTTTGACACATTAGCAAGAATGACGGTAACTTCAGCGGCACTGTACGAAAAAGAAATGTATACACAGGGTCATTGGGAGGTGATTACCGTAAATCCTCTATTAACCTCCACCCCCAGGGGGCTTATTAAGTACTTCGAGCGCATTTGAGAGGGTGGGGGAGGCTTAATGGAGAGGGGGGTTTACTTATTTTAGCAAAACGGGGCGCTATACTGCTTTGTCAAAAAACAAAAACATAGCATCAATTATCCATAAAGAACTAAAACGCAAAGTGGAAAAGCTAAGGCAATTGAAGTTAGAGGTCATGCCCAAGATAAACTGAACTTTCAGCACGTGAATTGAAGTGTAAATAATTATAATTACTCCAGCTTAGCCTGAAAGGAGACACTTTTTCTGGGGTTTCGTACCCGAGATTGAAATACTAACCGTACCTTAATGAATGCTTCTCCAAGGCCTGTAAGCTGGTTACATCCCATTCTTTCTTGTGAATTTCTCTTATGGAATCCAGGATTTTAGTTCGCACACCTATCTGGGTTATTCCCATCTGATTGAATAAAGAAGATAACTGTCACGTTAACAATAAATGTCCATAACCTTTTGATTGAACAGATACCTAGACAACAAGAGTTGCATGAGGCAGTTTTCTACACCTGGTCGTTCTATCTTCACNTGGAAAAGCTAAGGCAATTGAAGTTAGAGGTCATGCCCAAGATAAACTGAACTTTCAGCACGTGAATTGAAGTGTTAATAATTATAATTACTCCAGCTTAGCCTGAAAGGAGACACTTTTTCTGGGGTTTCGTACCCGAGATTGAAATACTAACCGTACCTTAATGAATGCTTCTCCAAGGCCTGTAAGCTGGTTACATCCCATTCTTTCTTGTGAATTTCTCTTATGGAATCCAGGATTTTAGTTCGCACACCTATCTGGGTTATTCCCATCTGATTGAATAAAGAAGATAACTGTCACGTTAACAATAAATGTCCATAACCTTTTGATTGAACAGATACCTAGACAACAAGAGTTGCATGAGGCAGTTTTCTACACCTGGTCGTTCTATCTTCACTGCTGTATAAATAAGTTGCATTGGTTTGCAGGGCTCAAAATAACAGCCGGGCAACGGATAATTTTTAGTCAATATGGCGACTTATCCGGCCCGAAACTTCAATTGCCAGTCATGTTCACTGGTCACACAGACTCTCATTCTTGAAAAAACAACCAAATCCTCATTATGGTCTCTTTCTAAAAATTTCGATAGAAAATTACACAAGGAATAGTTAACTACCCATTCTGCGCACGACTTCGCAGCTCCTCAGCCAAAATTTTGCTCGCGCTAACGATCGCGTCGGCTACGGCGGCTGCCGGTCATCATGTCCGGCCACCGTCTGAAAATCATTTTGAGCGCTGGGTTTGGCCGGGGCTTAAAGCTAACTTGTGACGACTGTTAAGGGTATGTACCTGGTCCAGTTCCTTTTCTGTCAGACTCAAGAAACCATCAAATGTAACCTTGTGTTCCTGAACAATGAAAAAAATACAACTCTTTACAGGTATTCTATAAAGGTTGAAGCATGAAGCAAATTTTTAACCAATCAGAAGTCGGCACTACCCAGATCTGGGTAGTGATGCGTCATCAGTATGGAATTTTCGCACTCATTCCACAGACTTCATTTCGCGGGGAAACCAGTGGTGGCTTTGTGCATTGTTGGCTGTTTTGTCAGGCGAACTCAGAAGCAGAAGGGGAAGGATTGATTTTGCTCTTCCGCTTTTGCTTGCGATTCAGACAACCTAGTTTTCACTAGATCGCGACACAGTCATAAGAGGAATCAGAAGACTGTTTTCACTGGATCGTCATGTTGTACCCTTCTGATTAAGACTCTGACTCTGACATCATCGCTAGTGAAACCAGCTTTCAACAAAAGCACAGGGCTGTAGCTAGCATGAGGCAACGCGAGGCAGTTGCCTCGTCTTGATTTTGGCCTTTTTTTTTTGGAAGAAACGTTTAATTGAGAAAATAATCCCTAGAAGAAATTGGATTGGTTAAGATAAAACCAGCTAATATAAATTGGATGAATTGAGGGGAAAACCATTTTAATTAGATTAATTCGTTTCATGTGAACTGTGAGTAGCGGTTTTTCAAATGCTTTAAAATGCAGATGGTCATTAACTTGGCACCAGTATCGCTAAGCAATAAAAAAGTGACCTTCTACACTTTCCCAAGACTGACTTTTCTGAAGAAAAATGCCATGGAAAATGCTTACAAGAGCATTTCTGAGCCTCTAGATTTCAAAATCTAGACCCCACTAGGGGCTTGCGCCTTTGGCGCTCGAAACTTGCCTCGTCTTGTTCTGAAGTCTGGCTACAGCCCTGAAGCAGTTACATTCATTCAATTCCATTATATGTGGGCCATAATGAATTATTTCACGAACAAGCAAATAGTCTCATGCTAAAATTTTACCTGAAATTTGGGCAGTAGATGTGTTAGTTCATGTCCAGCAAGAAATAACTCCAGGCTACCGTAACTGAGTGAGCTGTCTTCTGTTACATTAACACTACAAATAATGGCAAAAAAAGAAGAATTTCAAAATAAGGTTATTACCCGGTAGGTGGGGAACTCAATGGAAGTTGGGGTAGAGGTGCGCCACCAAGACCTTTTTGGCTACACTGTTTATGACAAGAGACCTCATTAAAGAACCCTGATTCATTTCCTTTTGCAAACGGAATTTGTTTAGGGGTTAGGGGTTAGGGTTGGCTTATGAAGTCCAGTTTTGCTAGTATTTGCCACTAAATTATTTTCTACCCAGCAAAAGGATGTGTGCATTTTTCAGAAGCTAAGAGCATTAACACTGAGCCTTGTTCTCTAACCTTCTTTGCTCCATAGCTTCTTCAGTAGCAGCTTCTGTACTAGCCCCCTGTTTTCCACTGGCCACAAAGGAAATGATATCTGAAATCTTATTATTTCATTTAAAATGTTAGACAACTCTAAAAATTAGCCACAGAAATCAGGAATAATATTGTTTATCATAACTATAACAAAATTGTCAAATCTGATTGGCTATCAACTGCCCTGCCCTGTTTAATAGGACAGTACGCGTCATGCCTAAGTAATTGGACAGTACGAGCTATCAAGCACGCGCTTAAATGGCTTTTTTTTTTAAGCTAGCAAAACAAAATGCCGAATTCCTTGTGTTTTGATGTAAAAAAATTAGCCTATTATATCACAAATTTTGTTAAAGTTATGATTAATTGGTAACAGAACTTCGTGTCGTCAAATTCGGTCTGTAATCATACTCGTGATTAAACAAATCGGACTCCCGCTACGTGGTCGTCCGGTTTTTTTTTAATCACTCGTATGATTACAGAATTGGACTCCACTCAGTCCTGTTACCATTAATTACTGTCCTATTCTATGTGACTAACAACTGACAAAAGAACTCATGTGAACTTACAGCATGATATTCATTAGAGTAGGCAATATCACTTGCAGTTTGTCCATCATTTGAATAAACCTTAGGGTCTGCCCCGAGATCCAGCAAGGTGCGTACAACTCGACCATGACCACGGCTTGCCGCAAATGACAAAGACTAAGAAACACATTAGAACACAATTTTGATTTTATATACAGTGAAATTCAAAAAACTGTTGAGGAACACATCTGTGTGATACAAAGCTTAAAATAAAAGATCCTAATGTTTCCAAGAAGTTAAAGCAAGAGCAAACACTAGTTTCATCTTCAGGACTCATAATAACTACACTCACCGTCCACCCACGCATATCTTGCTTGTTGATCTCAGCACCCTGTTCTAACAGCTTCTCGCAAACTTTAACTCTTCCTTCTTTTGCAGCATACATTAATGGAGACATGCGATATCTAGATAGTTCGCAGAAAAAAGAATTGCAGCATATATGAATAGAAGGAAGGGGTTAATTAACGAAGATTATTTAAATAGAATCATTACTAAAACAGCTTACTTATCGTAAACATTGACTCTGGCATTCTTCTGTAGCAGCAGTTCAACACACTTGAAAACCTGTTCTTCTGGAATGCGTGCAGATGTTGCACATGTTGCCATCAGCACAGTGTACATCTCTGCATTAAAATGGAGTCATAAGTGACCTAATATCAACTGCACTGATACATGTATGTGAAACCAGTCATAACAAAAATGATGGTTTGAGGTACATGTACATTGTAAATTTCTATTTCTATGGCTTAGGCCTTATTCAGAGAGAATTTCCCAAAACAGGTAGCCTGAGGAAACAGCTGACATTCTGCAATCTCACCACTGGTTTCCTCGTGAATTGACCCCGGGGTACTCCGGATTTCAAGTCACAGGGATGATTGAATGGGGGAATTCCATACTGATGACGTGTCACTTCCCTGATCTGGGTAGTGCTTCTGATTGGTCTTGCCACGAGGGAAACTTGCTTCAACCAATCAGAAGTACTACCCAGGTCTTGGCAGTGACACACCATTAGAATAGAATTTCAGCAGACATTCCGCAAACATCATTTTGCGGGAAAACTAGTAGTGGTGTCACTAAGTTGTGGCAGTGTGTTTTGTCAGTTTAACTTGTTGTAAATCTGTAGATGAAATCCTTTGGTGTTGCCATTCAAATAAAACGTCTTTGGCAGAACTCTTGTGTGTTACAGATACTATTTATCCCTTCCTGATTCAAAAAAACAAAAAAAAAATGGAATTCTTGTGAAGTTTTACAATGGCCACTGTGGGCATTAAAATGGTTAGCAGTGAGCAATTTACCTCATCACTATCCAACTTTAGGAAAAAAAAGTTACCTATAGAATGCAAATAAAAAAGATAAATAACATTGTTTCAAACTTATCCTATTTCCTCTAAAAAGTATACCTTTATGGAAGTTAACATTTGCCCCTCTGTTTACTAGAAATTCCATTAATTCATATGATGATGAACTGGCGGCTAACATCAGACAGGTCCAGCCAGACTTTAAATGG